TTTATAATTATCTTTGTTCGTCTATAATTATTTCTGTTTGTTTACAATCGTTTCTATCTCTTTAGAATCATTGTTGTTTCTTTACAATTATTTCTATCCATTTATAATTATCTTTGTTCGTCTATAATTATTTCTGTTTGTTTACAATCGTTTCTATCTCTTTAGAATCATTGTTGTTTCTTTACAATTATTTCTATCCATTTATAATTATCTTTGTTCGTCTATAATTATTTCTGTTTGTTTACAATCGTTTCTGTCTCTTTAGAATCATTGTTGTTTCTTTACAATTATTCCTATCCGTTTATAATTATCTTTGTTCGTCTACAATCATTTCTCTCAGTTCATAATTATCGTCGTTTCTTCACAATCATTTCCATCCGTTTACAATTATCTTTATTCGTCTATAATTATCCTGATACGATAAATAAGATAGTAGGTACATTCTCGGCACGCCGAGCGAAAAGAAAATAATTTTGGCCGGCTAAATCCTCGGCGAACAGCCCTGTGTGTGCGTCGAACCCCTAAAACTTCGCGTGCTACGCGAAAGAAAACGAGTGCGGGCGAGCCAACAAGAAATAGAAAAAGAGGAAAACGCTGGGGAAACGGATGGGCAGGGGTGAACCGCGGCGAAAAAAGGAAAATCGTATAATCTGCCCGGATATTCGGTCCGTTGAATATCTCACGAGCTGTCCGGACGCTCGGATACCCGGGAAGTGCATCATCGTTGCAGCACAGAGTCGGCCCCGTTAATCCGTAACGCGGCTCACCGGTTTTTTCCATCCCCTCCTCCCGCCCCCTCTTTCACGTCCCGACAGTTACCGCGTTCCCATAGTTTCTACCGACCATGTTCATAGTTCTTGAGAAGTTCTGCCTCCCTGCATCTCGAGTTCTGCCTTCGCGAAGACGATCCCATTTTTCTATGGTTAATCTAGGTGGCGCCCCGAGCCGTACTCAACCCTTCTGACATTAACCGGGAGCCATTTTGCACGTTCGAGAATTTTCTACGGAGTTTAGTTTATTTTTGTTGTTGTTGCTGACTTTTATTTAATATTTATTTCGTTAATCTCTGTCAACCCTTAGAAGTCGGTCAACCCTTTACCAAACCCTTTGTCAAAACAGTCTTCTCTCGATTATAGAATTTCAATTGTAGAATATAGATTATTTCCATTTTATACAGCCTGATGTATTTTCACGAAATTGAATTTTGCGACCGATGCAACAGTCTTCGAACATAATGAAATTTGATAATGTTAAAATCATTTCAAGACACAGTCATTTTTAATGGAGTCTTAGAGTCGCCGCTCGACTGCAAAGGGTTGTTATTTATTGTCATTTATTAAAGTATTGTCGCTTACGTTTTATAATTGAAAATTATGATTATAATATAATCAAAAATTTTATTTTTATAATTAAAATAATAGCGGATGATTCCTCAGGTCATTTGAAGCAACTTTTTCCTTAGCGAAATTGCGATCCGCGGTTTCGTTAACGAGTTATTAACAAAAAACAGCGACCAATGCCAAGCGAGTACGGCTGGCGGTAAGCGGTCGAAGCCCAGTTCCGCCGATTGGCCCGGCCGCCTAGCGCTACCGCCCACCGCCTAGAGCAAACTTGCCCCTCATTGGTCAGCGTTTTTCGTCAATAACTCGTAAACGAAGCCGCGGATCGCATTTTCGCTAAGGAAAAAGTTGCTTCAAATAACTTGAGGAATAATCTTCTATTATTTTAATATTTTTCATTATTCAATCCTTCGCACTCGAAGCCATCTTAACTGTATAAATCTAAACTAACTTTTCTGTGTTATAGTATATCTATCTTATACAACAAAGTGCATTTTATTCATACGAAATTGACTCTCGCGATTCACGCAACAGTTACACTTTTAATAATATTTAAAATCTAAACTCCGACAATATAAAAATAATCTTAGAACGTGATATAACAATTTTAGTGCCGTCTCAGAGTCACCGCTCGAGTGCAAGGGTTAACATCATTTTCTATTTCATGCATCATGACAAAAATAAACAGATCGATTACAAAACGCTAGAAATATTGAAAGAACGTCCGATCGTTCTTTTTTCTCTCCAAGTTCCTGCTCTTTCTACCTCGTTTCCGTCGGCTCTCACTCTCTGACATTTCGGGCTCCCCCCGTCACCGAACGGCCCATTTTTTCCCGTGTTTCCGCGAGCTCGTTCTCCGTGCGGCGGTCCTAAATTCGAGGCACGAATCGCGGGAAGAGCGGACGTGTTCGCCGGCTGGTTCTCGTCCATCGACAAACACGAGGAGCGGCGCGGCGTCGCGACGCCGCGCGCGACGCGCGACACCGACCGCCCACGGTCTCTGTCCCGGCTCGCAGCCGACCGGTCGCATGGGAAATTTCACGGCCGCTAAATGTTTCACGGTACGAATCAACGCCGCGGACCGATGACGACCGTGGAGCCCGGCCGGCCGAAATTAAATTCTACATTATTCAATGCGGCCCCCCCGGATAACTTGTTAACCGCACGGCGGCCGCCGAGCGTTCCGCGGCCACGCGATCCGCAGGCAGCACGCCGCTCCCGCAACCTTTCTGTTTACGCACCGAGCGAATCCGCTCTCGCGAGCCGCGATAATTGCCCGACGCGACCATGAATATTGCAGACGTCGCGTCGCGTCGCGTCGCCGCCAGACGAGACTGGCTTTCTATGACCGCAGGACCTCCTTTTTTCGAACCGGTTTCGAGGCTTTTGGGAGAACAGGTTCAGAAACCCTGTTGACCACTGATTTTGCGACGCGTGAGTGATCGGGGTCGTTGAACCCGCGTATCAAGAGATACATGATTGCGATTTTTTTTCGTAAAGTTCTGGTATTTTGAAGCAACCTTTGCATTCTTGCAAGGTGTTTGTTATATTGAGAATTGGCGAGTTCGATGAAATGCACGGACTTTGTACAATTTTTCGCGGGAATGCTGTTTACAGTGGAATATAGTTCGATTCTTTCTCTTTAATTTGAAGGAAAACAAACGAAGCTGCGATTTTTTCTCGCAAAGTTATAGCACTTCGAAGCAACCCTTGCATTCTTGCAAGGTGTTTGTTATATTGAAAATTGGCGAGTTTGACGAAATGCACGGACTTTGTACAATTTTTCGCGGGAATGCTGTTTACAGCGTAATAAAGTTCGATTCTTTCTCTTTAATTTGAAGGAAAAAAAACGAGGCTGCGATTTTTTCTCGCAAAGTTATAGCACTTCGAATGAACCCTTGCATTCTTGCAAGGTGTTTGTTATATTGAGAATTGGCGAGTTTGACGAAATGCACGGACTTTGTAAAATTTTTCGCGGGAATGCTGTTTACAGCGTAATAAAGTTCGATTCTTTCTCTTTAATTTGAAGGAAAAAAAACGAGGCTGCGATTTTTTCTCGCAAAGTTATAGCACTTCGAATGAACCCTTGCATTCTTGCAAGGTGTTTGTTATATTGAGAATTGGCGAGTTTGACGAAATGCACGGACTTTGTAAAATTTTTCGCGGGAATGCTGTTTACAGCGTAATAAAGTTCGATTCTTTCTCTTTAATTTGAAGGAAAAAAAACGAGGCTGCGATTTTCTCTCGCGATGTCACAGCACTTTGAATCAACCCTTGCATTTTTACAAGGTACTTGCCATATTGAAAATTCCCGACTTTTACGAAATGCGCGGTACAATTGTACAATTTTTCGCAGAGATACCGTTTACAGTAAAATAAAGTTCGATCCTTCCCGTTTAATTAAAAAAAAAGAAACGAGGCTGCGATTTTTTCTCGCGAAGTTACAGCGCTTTGAATCGACCCTTGTAATTTTGCAACCCCTGTATTTCGTCGAACTTGGCAATTTCCACTATAACAAACATAGTCTCGCGTTTAAATGGTTACAATGACGAGGGCGTGTCAAATATAAAATTGAAAAATACTATAATAAAATAGAGGTTTCAAGTTTTAATTTAAAAAAATGAGTCATCGTCCCACGATGATTTCTCGGGGAGTTATCGTCGCTCAAAGTTGGCCGATCTTTCTTCGAAGCTTGTGTACACTATAATTTTCATGAGCTGTGCATGTACGATATTAATCTGACATTACACGGTGCAAGTTACCCGACGATATCTGAGAACCACGTGACACGAGAACCACGTTTCCCAAGAAGATCGCGGAAATATTCGCGAGTGTCTGCGGCGCGAGGCCGTTGAATCCGAAGGATCGATGTGAGAGGTTTCGACTCTGTCTCGTGTGCTCCCGGGCTCGGTATCGTGACCATCGTCCAACTACCGGCTGATTGCGCTTATCCGCGACGACTTTCTTAGCCCGGCCCGCGTGGGCAAGAAACTCGCCGCCGTAAATCAACGGGAAGTGGTGATTACGAGGTGCAGGGCGGCTTGTAGCGCGCGTCACGACAGCCGTCCGGCGGCCGCGCGGACGCTGTTTCCAAATCGTTCGTTAATTTTATATTAGCCGTGCATGAGACGCCGCGT